AGACCACGAGCTTCGACGCATACGACGAAACTGCGGGGATTCCACCAGTTCACAATAGATTGCCAAAAACCAGACCCGGAAACCGAAAATCGTAGAGTTGGACCCGTTTTAAAGAACTAATAATAAGTGTTTTAAAAAAGGTCCAACTTTACGATTTTCGGCTTCCGAGTCTGTTTTTTGGCAATCTGCTTTGCAACTGTCGCTTTCCCACAGGCTTCGCACACAGGGCTTTGCTTCCCGCCTCACCCCAAATTCTGCGGCTGCATCACAGCCTGCCCACGGTCTTTGATCGACCTGACTGGGCATCACTGGGCTGCAGCATACCCGAGCTTTTTTGCATCCCACCTCACCCAAAAAAACTAGGGCTGCAACCCCTCTCCGGGCTCCTTTTGCCCCCCGCACCCAAAATTCTAAGGCTGCAGCACCGCCTCCCCGGCTGTTTGCTTCCCACCTCACCCAAAATCTAAGGCTGCAGCACGGCTCTTGCTTCCCACCTCAATCAAGAGTGCAGCACGGCCCGGGCTCTTTGCATCCCACCTCGGGCACTAGGGCTACAACGTGAGACACTTCCCAGCACGACAAACATAAAACGAAGCGCCCCTAGACCCCGGAGCTTCGACATGTATCTCGGCAGAACTTTTACGGCAAAACAACTAGCATTTTTTGAACTTAAGCAGTTCCACAAAAGCAGCTGTATTCCGGGCACCGCAAATGGGCCCTGGACTGTGGATTTCTTCTGAAAGCACAAGGTCACCCAGTTTGGAGCCCCAATTCGGGGTTCTAGATTTAGGAGCCATTTCTGGGCCCGCTTGCGCCATTTTTTTTGCGGGCAGAAGCCAGATCTGCTTTACACAGCCGGTCGTTGTGAGCAAAACAAATAAGCCTCTTGCTCAGTTCTGATCTACGTCTTGCCAGTCTCCCTTAAAATTTTGAAGAATAGCAAGAAGAACGTGCGGCAAAGTCTCATTTGGAACCGGAAGTTTCTCTGACTCTAACTGTGGACGTCATCTGACGTGTCCTATGTTTTCTGTAATTTTTCGGACCCTGAAATGGATCCGTGTGACTGGCCACGTGGTGTTGCGTTTTCGAGCATGTCTGGAACGTGCAGGCCTCTGCCACAAAGCAGTCTTGCAGTGTTCACGTAAGATCTTTCTCGCACTGTGGAGGTCACGTGATGCGTCCTACGTTTCTTGTGTTTCTTTAGGTCCTAAAAGACAGGCAGATCATAAGGTTGACATTTCGCTGTTCAATGCTGGAAAGTTATTTGACAGGCAGCGACTTGCTCCCACCATGCAACCAAAGCCCCAGTCTACTGCCAACATTGAACAGCAGATTGTCAACTTTGCGATTTTGCGGCTACCGCATAGTCGGTTGACACTTTGACAAGAACAACACCACTCTTGGCAAAATAACACAGCGGTTATGCATCGAAGCAAAAGCTGCACGAAAACCGCCACTTTTAGAGCGTGAACGCGCGAGACCACGAGCTTCGACGCACACGACGAAACTGCGGGGATTCCACTAGTTCACAATAGATTGCCAAAAACCAGACCCGGAAACCGAAGATCGTACAGGGGAGGCCCACGCACGCGAAGCCAGAATTGTTGAGATTTTTCGACCCCAGATTTGGACTCGCGCAAACTGGCAACTTTTGCAAACATGTGTACGCGATATTGCAAGGCCTCTGAGGCCTCACCCTGCGGGGTTCGAGGCCTTCTGAGGCCTCCCGAGGCCTCACTCATGGGGTTTCGAGGCCTTCCGAGGCCTCCCGAGGCCTCACTCATGGGGTTTCGAGGCCTTTCGAGGCCTCGCGAGGCCTCCACAAAATCCCAAAACCCCTTTAGCTTGAAAGATTACGAGGCCTCGGGGACCGGGGCTTATAATACTATTAAAGGGGTCCCCGCAAGGCCTCGAGCCCGGACGAACCCTGGTTGTCTCTCTTCTTTCCCGTGAAAAAATATTTTAAGCCGCAGCTGGCTCCCAGTCCTCTTCATTCTCGCTCTATTCAAAACATCACGACGGACCTCGAAGGGGCCTCGACCGCTTAAGATGACCCTGCAAAAGCTATTCTTGCTGCCGCAAGCTTTAACTTCAGACTTCTCGACGGGCCTCAAATAAGTCCTCGATGATCCTGAGCTTTCAAAGATTTCGACGGGCACGCGAAAGTCCTAAGAGAAGTACTCTGCGTGACATTGCAAGCTGATGTCGGTCTCCAGCGGGCAAGCAAACAAAATCACGCCCTGTTCAACTGGAGGAGGCCTCGGACCGGCCTCCAAAGGCTTGGAAGCCTTTAGCAAAGTCTGAGGCTCGAAGATGATGTTGCGTGTAAGTTCTTCGTTGGGCGCGTGGCAACTTAAGCTCCGAGCAGGCGCAACACGCTTAAATACCTCCACCGTCCAACTCAAGCCCGCCACAAGTTCTGATTTCTGCAATGTCTGGCAGGCAACCTCTGCGCAACCACAGAAAACGTTGAAGCCACGTTGGTCAACTTCCTAGAGCTTGAAGCGTGACTCCTTTCCAAAAACAACAACAACCTGCAGCTTAGCGCCAGGACAAAGCCCAAGTTACGAGGCTGTCGGGCGACCCCACTTTTAAGCCCGCAAAACACAAGTTTGCTTCGCCAGCATAAACCTCCGCAGTTGCAGTTCTGCCTTACTGCAAGCAGCCAACAAGAGCCGGTTGCGGGCGCAAATTCGAGGCCAAAAAACGGAGCCGTCTTGCGGCCCCAAAAATTTGGACGGTAAAGGTATTTAAGCGTGTTGCGCCTGCCCAAAGCTTAAGCCACGCACCCAACAAAGAAGAAAATATGGGGAAAGGCCAATGCCAGCGAAAGCCTTGTGAACGTCAGTTCGTCTTCTCCATTAAAGTGCACGTTAAGGTTTAAATGGTTGGAAGCGTTCACTTGGCTTACACGCAACATGGCCTTGTCATCTTTCAAGCCAAAGGGGTTTTGATTTTGCGGACCTTGAAAGGCCTTAAAACCCCATGAGTAAGTTAGGCCGCCTTGGGGACCAAGGCTTATAACACTATTAAAGAAGTCTCCGCAAGGCCTTGAGCCCGGACGAATCCTGGTTGTCTCTCTTCTTTCCCGTAAAAAGAATTTTAAGTCGCAGCTGCCTCCAAATTCTCTTTGTTCTCGCTCGCTTCCATGCAAGACACGATGCTGTATTGCTGCGTGATGAACCGCCTCGTATCCGCAGGCATTGAGAGACTGCCTTTTCGAGCACGAGCGTAGCAACTCCTGACCTCTTTCCCAACGTGAGAGAGATTGGGTAAGATAGTAGTAAAGCTTCGCGCTTCGAGCAGCAACATCATTCACCAAATCCTTCTGAAGGATCTCATTCTTTTGCTTCACGCAAAGTTGCAACTCTCGAACGAAAGACTCATCTTGAAGAGCAAGCCACGATTTTCAAAACATCATGACGGACCTTAAAGGGGCCTCAACCGCTTAATGATCCCAAAAGCCATTCTTGCTGCCGCAAGCTTTGACTTCAGACTTCTCGACAAGCCTCAAATAAGTTCTTGATGATTCTGAGCTTTCAAAATTTCAAGCAAACAAAATCACGCCCTGTTCAACTAGAGAAGGCTTTGAACCGGCCTCTAAAGGCTTGGAAGCCTTCAGTCTAAGGCTTGAACGTATGGGCTTTGAACAGCAAGAATACCTACTGTGCAGGAACGGCTTGTGCTCCTAGCAAATCAGCTGTTGCCGAGCACCCTCATTGGAGTTCTAACAATGGTCGCTGGTGAACGGATGCCAAGTACTCTTTCTTACTCTGACTCTTACTCTCACTTTCACTCTCACTTTCACTCTTACTCTCAGTTTTCACTCTCACTTTCACTCTTGCTCTCACTTTCATTCTTACTCTTACTCTCACTCTCGCTCTTGCTCTCGCTCTCTCATCCTCACACAGACACTCTCACACGCAAGCACTTGCTGCTCCAAAACATACGTCTGTTTGGCTCTGGCAAAGACCAGGGTCGATGGTGCTAAATTCAAAATGCTGTATAGACAGGTCTGACCCATCAACGGCGCGTTAACTGCCACTAAAACTAAGATTGGAGATAGCGCCAAAATATGTCCAAGCATGCGCAAATGCAAGAAAGCGAGGACGACGGAGTGAGAAAAAGTGATGCAGTGACGGGCAGCGGAGGAGTGGTGAAGCCATGGGGCCCCACGTAATTTCTATGTCTGCCAACTTTTCTTCGGCGCCGCGTTTTGAACAGTGCATAGGTCGTCTTTAAACACTTGTAACAATGTTCAGTTTAGAAGATAAGCGACTTGTAAAAAAACCTGGATTAAAACTTGGGTTTTTTGCCTGACGGCAAAATGGGGGTGCGAAGCACTCTCTGCTTGGCATCAAATCAGGGGGCCCACATGGATTACATGGCCCCATTACCTACGACGGAGCTAAGTATGGCCGAAATTTCGGGCGCGGCATGGTGTTCTAGGGCCATAGGGCCAGATTAACAAACCTGTCGGCAGTCTCATCAAGAGTCTCATATTGCCCAGCAGCCAGCAGATCCTCAGCAGAAGATCATCAGCAGCATCATCATCATCATCATCATCATCATCATACCATCATCATCATCATCATCATCATCATCATCATATCAGATCATAGCATATCATATATCATCACATCGTGTCATTGTATCATCATCATCATCATCATCATCATCATCATCATCATCATCATCATCAATCATCGTCGTCATCATCATCCTGCCAGGTCCTGAGTCCTGAGCCCTGGCATCTTGGCAGTCCGGCTTCCCGGCGGGCACGCGGTCCTGGCCTGGCATTGCCGCCGCATTGCCTGGCATTGGCATCAATCATAATCGCATCATCGCATCGCATCATGAATCATTATGCATTGTGAAGTATGAATCATCAATCATCAGTCATCAATCATTCATTCAGTCATGACTCATGACATGAGATCATGATGAGCCACGAGTCATGAGTCATGAGTCATGAGATCATCATGAATCAGGAACCATAATCAGTCACAGTCACAGCCACAGTCACGGCAGTCACGTGAGTCATTGCGGCCGCTGCAACCCATCGGCCACAAACACGGGTCATGAACAATGATCGCGTCGAATCCAGCCAAGACTTCAAACTGAGCCCATCTTTTCTGCTGTTTGGCTTCGTGCATTTTTTTCCTGTTTGCAAAACAAAACCACCAGCAATGAAACAGAACTTCAAAGAACTTGGTCTGTTTTTTCAGCTGTCCTGGCTTGACACATGCAGGCCACACCATACTTGAGATGCAAATTGGAGATTTTTTTTTGCTACGTTTTTCAAAGCAAATTGTTTTTAAAATTTCAAACATGAAAAAAGTTTAAAACACAGAAAAAACTGGTTTCGAAGCATTTCAAAGTCTGCAATATTGAATAATAATTTTGGAATGCCTTGTTAGAAACAAAATCGCTCTGAACAAACTTGCCTGAAAAAAAAAAAAAAAAAAAAAAAAAAAAAAAAAAAAAAAAAAAAAAAAACAAAATCAAAAAAAAACGTTAAAAATTTTTTGTTCAATTTTTCCTTGTTTAAGAAACATTGTCAACGAAATGAACAAGATGATTCAAATACCCAACTTTTTGAAACTGAGCCAACCGGCTTAAAAAAAACATTAGAAAAAACGCGGCGTTCAAAAAAAACAAAATGTATTTTGTGGAAGTCAAGTCATTTTTTTTCCTCTAGCAAGCTAGAGCAATGAGATTCAAAGAGGGATGAGACGGCGCGCCCACCATCAAACCAACATCAAGCGAAAGTGTGCAAAGACATGGAAGTCATGAGTTATGAGTCATAAGTCATGTCAGAGTCATGAGTCATAAGTCATTGAGTCATGATGTCCACAGCCACCCCATGCGTCGTTGGCAGGCTTGGCCTTGAACAGCAAGGACACCTACTGCACAGAAACGGCTTGTGCTTCTAAGCGAATCAGCTGTTGCCAAGCACCCTCATTGGGGTTCTAACAATGGTCAGGTTATGGGGCTGGTGAACGGATGCCACAAGTGCATTCGCGCATGCTTAGACGAATTTTGACACTGTCTCCAATCTCAGTTTTTGCGGCGTTAACGCGATGGGTCAGACCTGTCTTTACAGCATTTGAAGTGAAGCACCATCGACCCTGGTCTTTGCCAGAGCCAAACAGATGTATGTTTTGGAGCAGCAAGAAGTGCTTGCGTGTGAGAGAGTGACAGAGTCTGTGAGTGTGTGAGGATGAGAGCAAGAGCGAGTGAGAGTGAGAGTGAATGAAAGTGAGAGTGAGTGAAAGTGAGAGTGAAAGTGAGTGAAGAGTGAAATTGAGAGTGAAAGTGAGAGTGAGAGTGAGAGTGAGAGAAAGAGTGAGAAAGCGAGGACGACGGAGTGAGAGAAAGTGATGCAGTGACGGGCAGCGGAGGAGTGGTGAAGCATGGGGCCCCACGTGATTTCTATGTCTGCCAACTTTTCTTCGGCGCCGCGTTTTGAACAGTGCATGGGTCGTCTTTGAACACTTGTAACAATGTTCAGTTTAGAAGATAAGCGACTGGGAAAAAACCTGGATTAAATCTGGTCGGTCTTCGGATCTGGCCTTATTACCCTACGTCTGCTGTGCATGGGACCCTTTCAACAGTATTATAGGGTCTCGAGTCTCCTGGCCACAAACATTTTTTCGGGGAAAAATACGCCGTGAGGCCACAAAAAGGCCACAGTGGGCCACAAACGTGTGTTTTTGAGGCCACGTCAGCCACAACAGGCCACAAACGTGTCAGGCCACAACAGGCCACAAACGTGTGGTTTTCAGGCCACGTCAGGCCACAACAGGCCACAAACGTGTCACAACAAAGCAAGACCGTGTGGGTTTGAGGCCACATCAGGCCAACTTGTTTGGTTTCGAGATTTTTGGGGCTTGATTTTCACGTTCCTGTACTGTACACATGTTTGCCAGTTTACGCGACTCCAAATCTGGGGTCGAAAAAATCAGGCAATTCTGGCTTCGCGTGTGTGGGCCTCCCTGTGCACGTTTCTTTCATGTTGATCGCGGAGGCGGAGTCACCCACACAAATGCTTCTCGCCCCAGCTCCGCCCGACATCATCTCAACTCTCAAACGGCACGCAGAAGTTCGGTGCTGAGCAGCACTACCAGCTTCGAGAGCCGCGCCAGCCTTCGCAGGCCTTACGGCAACGTCCGCAGACACAATTGCCGCATGGACACCGAGAATCTGAGTCGCGGATCCAGCCTCCCGCAAGTGCAGCTTCACAAGAAAGCTGCCCTCGGAGGTCGTGGTTCTCAGTAATTGATCTTTCCACGTTAAGTGCTTGTCTGTGAGCCAGAGTCGCCTGAGTGCTTTCTGAACTTTAGAATATTGGAAGTTCATAAATTTTATAATCTACAACTTTTTATTGGCATTTTCTTGAAATCTTATGGTTATTTATCTTTTATCTCTCACTTCGTTCCTAATTTTGTTTCGTTCAATCGCTCGCAAGATTCATGCGCTTACTTCGTGCACTTATAATATTGTTCCATCTTTCTCTTCACTTTTAAGATAATGTTTACCGGGTGCATAATATAGTGCGTTTAAAGAGGCTCCCGGGCAATATTAATACTATAGTACTAATGGTGTAGTTCTCACACACTCTTTTATTGGATGACAAATGAACGCAGTGAGTGCGTGAATACAATAATAAAGAGTGAGAACGAAACCACAATTGCAAGAAATCCACCAATCATAACCTCTTCACTTAGTATTAACCGGGTGAATAAGGGGTTAAGTCCTAGTGGGTGGGTTTGAGGGCTCCTATGTGTTTTCCCATCAATTGCTGGGCTCTTGCTGGGATCCTGCTGGGCTCCTGTGTTAAAGCGATCCAACAACTTGCAAGCTCTGCCCTGCTTCAACACTGCCATAAGGCACTGGATTTTTGAGGGGCCAAAAATGCACCCCGAAAAATGAACTTCAAAATGGAAAAAGTGTCACCAAAAACGAGCTTATAAGGGAACAAAAAACAAAGCCAAAAATGGGGCTTGTTGGGTCCGGTTTTTGCAAGATTGCGAAACTGGCTGCTCTACAATAGGGCCTCCCCAGTACCAGTCGCAAGTGTTCTTGTGTTTGAGCAACTTACAGGGCCGTGTGGCACAAAGCGCAAAAATGGGGGCTCTTGCAAAAATCCGGACCTCACAAGCCCGTTTTTTTGGCTTTGCTTTTTTGTTCCCTTATCCAATTTGCCTTGCGTGGCTTGAACTCAAATTTCAGGGCCTGTTTGTTGTGACGCTTTCCTCAAAACCAATTTTCAGCTGATTTATCAAACGTTCCAGAGTCACAAAACCACTTGCATATGAGCCACTCTATCCATCAGCAAGTCAAGAAAAGTGCTGTTTCCAGCAAAAGAAGCTGCTTCTGAGTGACCCCCCAAAAAGCCTTGATCGTACAAAAAATGACTCTCTTTTGTTGGTCGTCCAGCAATTTCTTCTGCACTGGGGAGGCTTTGTGTGATTTTGCTGCCTGTGTTCCAAACGCACACCACACCCAGAACTTTTTTAGGCTTGAAGCGGAAATGATTTTGATTTGAAACACTTTGTTGTCGCCACTTTGCTTGAGCTGCAAGTGTGACACTTTTCGCTCCAAAACCAAAACATTTCCGAAAAACAAAATTCAGTCTGTCGTACATAGTTTATTCAAGATATGCATGTTTAAAAAATCAAATCTCAAATTAATTCAGGATCAATTGGCTTCTGATAGAAGATAATTGTGTTTTTTGGGAATAATTTCTGTTGAAAAGCAACATTAATTAGAACACACTTTTAAGAGTTTTCACGTTAATCATGAGTGTGGCAAAACAAAACCGCCCATGAAGCTCAGAAAGCAAACATGGCTCGTGGAGTCTCCAAGCTGGGAGTCCATTATGAGCCGGCGGATGCTGATGTGGAGATTGGAAGTGAATCTGAAAACTGGGAACTTGAGCTGGTCCCAGATCGGAAGAAGTTTTGGAAAGGAGGCCTCAAAACACCTAAACTCCACCCACACCTTTTTCGAAGCACTTGGGACAAAAGTGGTTTTTCCATGCAGAAAAACAAAGTAGCACGCGCGCTGGAGTGCCCTGCGTTTTGTTGGCATGCGTTGGGTGTGGTTAAGTTCAAAAGTGTAAGAAAACCTAGGTTTTGACTCATTGCGGTTTTCGGAACCAGGAAGACACGCCACTGATCCCTCGAAGGGCGGGCGCTTGTTCTTGAAAATGAGTGTTTCGCCGAGGCGGGAGCCTTGTTTTGAAAGGCAGGAAAACCGAAAAGTTGCGTATACCATGTTTTAGGTGTTTTGAGCTTGTTTGTAAGGATTTTTGAGGGTGTTTTTTGGGGCTTGCATGTCCTTGTGTATGTGTCGAAAAGAGGCTTTGGGAAGGTTTGGGCTTGGATTGCTTTCAAGAGAGGATTTGGGAATGTTTGGGCTTGGACTGCTTTGGGGATGCTTGGGCTTGAAGATTTTGGTCAAAAAGGCTTTGGGAAGGTTTGGGCTTGGACTGCTTTGGTGGGCTTGAAGGTTCAAGCAAGAAAGGATTTTGGGATGCTTGGGGCCGGCTTTTTTTTTCGGGGGAGATGCCTGCAGCAAGTGCTATGTATATTCGCAACATGGATATTCCCAACATGGATATTCCCAACATGTATATTCCCAACATGGATATTCCCAACATGGATACTCCCAACATGGATACTCCCAACATGGATTTTCCCAACATGGATATTCCCAACATGGATATTCCCAATCCCCCCTCCCCCACCCCAACCCCCCAAGCTGGAAACCCCAGGAAACGCAGGGCACACGAGGGTGCGTCCTACCAAAAACAAGCCAGACACTCTTTTGGTTCAATTTAAAGCGAAGTTGAGATACTCCGGTGTTTCGGTGTTTCGCTCGCTTCACTCGCACTTGGACGTCGCGCGCAACATTGACGTCTTAGCAGTACAGTTGAACTCGCCTCGTCCTGCACTTGATTTCTGTCCACGGCACAGTCAGAGGCTATCAAAAATGTTTCAAGTTGGCAGAAAAGCCAAGTAGCACACATGAGAGCAGCGGCACTGACAAAAAAAGTGCTTGCAGCTCACTTTGCAGCCGGTCTGCAGTGCAAATCTGAAGATTGGACAGACACGAAAAGGCTTGAGGCTTGAGGGTGTTTTCGCAGTGCAAATGTTTCTTGCTTCTCTGTGAGTCTCTGTCGTGTGTGACGGTTCCTCTTTGTTGTTTGCAAAGACAGAAACCGGTTTTGGGATGTTTTGGGTGTTAGGTTGCTGAGTTACAAGTGAAAACCTTGCAACACTGTAGTGTGAGGAATTTCGCTTCGCACAAAACTGCAAGGTTGACAACTCCATTTTAGAGGCTGCAAAAGTGTCAGAAAAGTGGTAGTGCTGCGTGGGCCTCCGATTTGCGGAACGCAAGTCGACCAACCTTGCTACAGGGCGGGAAGAGCAGCATGTCTCACGAGCCCCTGCTCCAAAGTGAAGCACAATTTCAGCACGCCGGATAAGCTAATTTGCGAGCTGCCCCGTCACTGGAACGCTGCGCCGGCAAACGTCCAGCCCCCCAGCTCAAATATCGATCACTGATCAAACCTGTAGCTGGTATCGGAACCGACGGGATGGCAAAGTGCATCAAAACACATGCAAAACTGGGGGTCCTGTTTGAAAGAAAAACTAATATGAATTTGATACTGGGATATAGAGAACATAACAAAATTATGATGTAAAAACATCGCTTTCAGCCCGTTGCGTATATTGTGTTCAAATGAATCAAGAGCGCACTCAACCCTACCTTTTTGTCAGGGCTTGACGCTCAGAATCCTTGAGCCAAATATGTTATTCGGCGTCTTAGCTTGAGCTACTTCAAGCAGCTATCTGTACATAACTTCTTCCTAACATGTTTTCCTACCAGGTCCACTGCACATGCCGCACTGTACATGTCATGCATGGAGTGTGCCTGTTGAAGTTGGGGTTCTCCCCCATCTGCGGGCAGCAAGGCCTCATTTAGCAGATGGAGGTATCTGAACTAGTCTAAGCTAAAGTGCAGATTTGCCCACATACCTTCTTCTCCCCCTTCGCACGACACGCATGCCTAACCCCTAATTAGATTCACCAGTGCTGAGCAGCAGGGGCTTCTTGACTGGTGGAGGTGTTTGTACCTCAGGCATATGGCAGGTTCATGTGCATTCAGCTCTCCATTCGGAGGAGCTTTAAAGCTGCAGGGAACTTGGCAGGAGGAAGTGCTTTGGTGAAAACGTCCGCCTTTTGAAGTTCAGTGTTTATGTACTGAAGGCGGATTAACGGATCTGACTCAAAGACTTCGTAGAGCGAAGACAAGTTCACTCGATGAGTCTTGCTGACGTGTCGCAACTTGGGCGAGTACCCGGCATGGACGATTTGGATGACAGCACTATTGTCTTGATGGCATACCAGCTTAGCTTCCTTCCCAGTGAGAGTTTCCAGGAACTCTTGAGCTGGTAAGGCTTCGCCAAATACCCCAGAACTTAGCGACATGATTTCTGCCTCTGTGGTGCTCCTGGATGTGGCTGTTTGCTTTTTGCTGCTCCAAGCCAAAGGCCAGTAGGTGTTTTCTCCCTCTAGGCATAAGATCATGCCGCTGGTGGACTGAGCATGGTCAACGTCGCCTGAGTGATCTGCATCGGTGTAAAGACTCAAGTGCAAATCTTCAAAGGCGTCTCCCATTTTGTGAACAACCGACAGGTTTGGGGTACCTTTCAGGTATGACATCAGCCTGCGCAACTTTTTATCGTCCGCGACGGACCATCGCGTTACGCGGCGCGTCAAGTCAGATATCCCTTTCATTAAGTCAGGACGCGATAGTCTTGCTAACCAAAGTGTTTTCATTAACACTCTGGACGCTTCTGAGGCCAAAGCTCCTTTGCTCTCCCAATCTGATGCGAGAATAGAGCCATCTGGAACAAAAGGTGTGCTGGCAGGTTTGAGAGGACGCTTTGACAAATCTTCGTACAGTCTGCATGCGTTGGCACAGTAGTCAGACATGTCATAGCGCATCGTTGTACCTGACTGGTTTCTCTCAATCAGGTGCTTTCTGCCTAACACTCTGTCCACAGGAGATGGCGGTTCTATCTCAAGGTGGGATTGGACTTCAGCCCAGAATGCATCATGCGCACATTCGGGACCGCTTAGCACAATATCATCTACGTACAAGGTGAGTAAGAGGCCGGTTTTCTTGAAGAAGTAAGAGGACTGAAAGAGCGAGGAGTGCTCTCCTCCAAGCGCTTCTACCACCTGTTTAAACCTCTTGTCCCAATGAAAGCCGGACTCTGGGTGGCCATACAACGATTTCCACAACCTAACGCAGGGCCTTTGCAGCTGACGATACTCTGGCGGGGTTAACTCCCAAGGTAGCTCCACCCAAGTCGGGACCCTGGTATTAAGGTCTGATTGGGTGTAAGGCTTGACAACATCCGACTGAGTCGTTTTGTGCCCTTTTGCCGCCCCGTACGCCAAGTTGAAGTTGATTCCAGTTATGCTTGTTGGGTTAACCTTGAGTTCCTGGAGGATAGCAAGGTTATTGGCTTCATCCCGTATGTCGTCTCCTCTAAAGACTATTCTGGCTTTGAGTTTTCTGAGCTCTGGGATTTCGTAAAGCTTGATGCTCAGGATTGTCATTAAACGGCCCACATTAATGGGTTCTTTTCTTGCCATGAGGTCCTTTCTTGAAACCACTTCAGCGTAGTTCCAAGTGCCATTTGCAATTAACCCTCGAGCTTCGCCGTCTATGCACTCCTGAGCTCCTGCATGCTTGTGCCAATCCTTGCGATCAATCAGGTGGTGAATCCCGGCAAAGATGGAATCAGACTGAACACGCGGTGAGTGAGGTTCAGGAACGAAAGGCCTGACAGGCATCGCTGCAATCTCTGCTGCAACTTTGGAATACAAGCTGCTGATGATAGTGTAGGCCATTGGCTTTGGATAGAAGGCTGTGCTGCTGGTTTTTCCACCTTCTACCCTACATGTTGGAAGCCTGATGCATGCTGGCACCTTTTTGCATCCAGATTTGAGCTAGTTTCCAACACGACGTAATGATGCGCCAGGGTTTAAGGTGGGGAACGCCATTTTTGTCGCACAAGCCATGCGCGCAGCCATCGGTTCTTGCTTCATACAAGTTGTGTCGCTTGATGAAAGCGATCAACTCTGGCAGCGCCCAACCAGCTGCATTCTTTGGCCACTCGAAGGCAACATGGCCCCCTTGACTCAACACTACCTCAGCGACAGCTATAAAGTTCCTAAGTATCCTTCTGGAACGGGCTCTTTGCCTTTTCAGTTTGGCCTTGAACTTTTCTCCCAACTTGTGCTCGTTCATTGTTTGCCAGTTGCTCCAAGGGCTGCATGGGATTGAACCCCACAAGTCACATCCAGGAAATAGCTGAACAAGCTTTTTCAATGACTCCACCTGCTTTGGATCTTCAACGTTTGAGTTCTTTTCAGTGAGACGAAAGTGGTTGATTCCGAATTCTTCGTTGACTTGGCCCAATGTGGAATCTTCATCGCAGCAGAACTCGAACATTGTTTCGCTACCAACTTGTCGGAGGAGATGGTTGCGATACGGCAATCCCTGCGGCACTTGCTTGGCAGCCTCACTGGCTTCTGCAATCATGGCCTTGCAAGTTGGATGCATTGTCTCGATGTCTTGAAGGATTGACGCCACTGCTGCAGCCCCCTTGGCAGGTGATCTTCTCAACTGCTCCGAAGCGTTTGCTTTCATGGTGTCTAACTCTGCCTGGGCAATGTCAACCTTACTTTTAGGGAAAAAACCAAGTGGCTCCGACCCAACTTTTCGAAGAGATTCTTCTATTTGGGCTTTTGTCATGCCAATCGTCTTTGAATGTTGACGCGCGGCCTTTGCATTTCCACACGGTTTCCCTTGCTGAAGAAACAATGTCGGACGGGAATGGACAGGATCGTCCCACAGGGGTGTACAAACGCTTGCGCGGTTTGACGTGCACACGTTTCCAAGCTATCTTATCCTTATCAAACTCCCAGTAATCCAGTTCGTGCTCATTTGCAAAGTGCTGGGAAGTGGTTCCTGGGCAGCTAAAGGCCTCTATGGAAACTCTTCCGGCTGCACCTGGCACTGGCGGATTTGGAACGTCTGGCGGGACTGATGGTGGAGGTTCAAAGGACGGAGCTGACGGGGCAGAAGGTTTTGCCCTCTCTTTGTCCCTAGCTGCTTTTGCTAAAGCCTCGTCCTCAAGTAACTTTCGGAAACGTTCGTGGCATGCGTCTGAATGTTTTACCCCTTCGGCTATTCTGTCACAACCCTTGCACCCGACAGTTGTCCCAAACTTAAGCGCTCTGTCCAAGGTAACATACGTACGCCTGACTCGAGGCTTTGCCTCAGGGGCACCCTTTTCGAAAGGCAAAGCTTCCCTAGATTCAATCGCTTTCAAATCTGCGGTTGGCCTGAAAAGCGCAAGCTTCTCGTTTAGGGCTTCTTGCAAAGGAAAGATGAAAGTCTCAGGGGCCACCATTTCAGTTGCGTGAACCTGAATTGGCCTACCGCAACCTTTCGCATCTGTCCTCAACGCTTCATAATCCAACACCAAGTGCACCCCTCTGAACTTGAATCCTGAATCCATGCGCCAGCCACAAAATATGCCTGGAATCGCTCTCGGCTGAAAAGCAGGAAGCTCTTTGTGGTGAGGTGGCTTGTAGTACACCAACGCGCCTAGAGGAATTCTGTGTCCATCGAAGGCATTCCCTCCATTAGCGGCTTCGTAGCATGTCTTGCCCTCTTTAAACGCTACGGTTTCAGGAGTATCGTTAGCGTGCACTGGTACGGGATTTGTGAAGGACCTGGCGACACAGAAGTATTCTGTCGCACGAGGCCACAGGGCATGAGGAAACCCTGCTGCTAACTGTGCTGCTCTAGTTCCTTCCTTAATGCTTCTAATCAACCTTTCTAGTTGAGCATTATGGAATGGGTCATTGGGGATACCTGGTTCTGGTAGCCATCCCAGGAACTTCACAGCTTCAGTGAGCTCTTGAGCGCAATCGGATTTCACTGCACACAATGCTCTACCATGCGCTCTTGTACCTCCAAACTTCTGCAACGCTGCGATGTTGTTGTCGGTAGTCCTCGATGTTTGTGAGAATGCTGACACACATCCGCTGTATTCATCATACGCAATGAGGCAAGCCTGTTCACCTTCCGACCCTTTGGTCAAATCTTGCCCTAGGACGATATGATCAACCCTTAGCCTATGCCCGAAATGCAACGGTGGAGTTTCTTCGGGGTCTTCTTCAACCTTAGCCCTATGGACTTTGCCAGTCATTTTGGCACGTCTACAGATGCTGCAGTACCTGTTTTTGGGAAAATGCGTCATCTGATGGCTTAAGGTTTTGGACTCTGCGATTAATCTTTCGCGAAGACTTGGTGTCCACTCCTCATTGTCATCGCTGTCTATTGGGGCATCTGCTTCAGTGGCTACTGAGGCATCACATAGGGACAGTTCATCATCCGTCCCAAAGTTGGGCAATGACCGGTCCGGTTTTAGCCGTAGACCTTCAGGACGTAGGGCTGCTGGGCCTCTTGGGTCCTTTGGGTCTTCCGGTCTGGCTGCTTCCTTTGTGATGTGACGTCGTCGGATGTGCTTCGGATCCGAGGAAGAAGATGAAGGTTCAGGAGGCTTTGGAGGAACTTCATCTATCACAAGGCTTCTCAGCGGATCATGCTCTGCAGGTGCTGCGCCTTTAGAGGAGCTTCCTGGCGATGGGGCAGCTGGGAGGCCTCCGCACGTAACTCTTTCCCGGATGATTGGAACATTCTCTACAACTCTGTCTACCGGTATCTTTGCTGAGGTCGGGCAATACAAAGTCATATCCCCAATCCTATCCGGCTTGAAAAAGTAAGGCAGCTCGTCTGGCATCCAAACAAACGGTTTACGATGTTGGTTGACTTGGATACCTAATGACACTGCCGGTGGGCATTGGTTCAGCGAGTAGAAGTAGTTCACTCCTAGGAAATTGCCTTTCATGCGAACGGCCTTTGTACCTGAGCGCGGGCCACCACCTGTGGAAAACCTAAGCTTCTCCGGAGCATCGGCGAAGTGCGAATGCACTTCCTCAGGTAAATCCCTTTTTGCAATTAGGTTTCTACCTGCGCCACTATCGACAAGGAACTCCATGTCAAAAGTCGTTCCATCACTGCCCACAACGGGACTGGATAACGCATTGTTTGAAGAACACGGGTCCAACATAGCCATGGCCGTCATCACTGTTGTGAAAACCTTTTGCAAGGCACTACCTTTGAAAACGGTATTCCTTCTGAGGTTGCGGCTTGCTCGGTCCAACTGCTTTCGGATCAAAGTCTTCAGTCGTGGCTGGGCTCTTGGCAAATCATCTTTCACCTTCCCATCCTGCACTGGGCTACCTTTCCCATCTTGGGCAGCGTGGCCTCCTTCTGGGATGGATGCCTCTGAGGTTGGGATGGCAGACGCAAAAGCCGCTCCTGCTAGAACTGACGCAGCTCCGGCTGACGAACTTTTGAGCTTTCTTGGCTTTGGACCTTTGTACATGTTGTCCTTGTCGTGGCTGTACTCACACTTGTCACCAGCAGTGCACGCGTCGTAGGCAAAGAACATACAAGGCATCTTCGCTTTTTCATCCTTTGTTTTGGGAGTTCGCGGGGACTTGCCATTGCCTTTCCCCTTACCCTTTGACGGCCTGTTGAGCTTGTTGCTCGGCTTTCTTCCTCTCTTTCTTGGCCTTTTCCTTCTCCTTCTTCTTCTCCTTCTTCTCCTTTTCCCCACCTCTGCTTGATCTGCTACGTGCCTCAAAATCCGACATAATCCCTTAACGCGTTGTTAATAGTCCGCGTTTCTCAACTCAGCGATCTGTTCGCCTGCCTCTGCGAGGCCTTTGCACCAAGGTAGCCAAGATGGACCCCACGAACGCCCAGGAATCCAAACGTTGATGGCTTGGCCCCCTTGAGAGGTAACCTCCTTCAGGATCTCAACGGCGTCGTCTATCACCAGCCAATCGCTCGTGCTCCCTGTTAGAGCCCTTAGCAATGCCGCCTTACCGAGCGCCCCTGTTCGATGAGGCACCGTGGCAATGAGGTGAATGACAGAGTGAAGCTGAGGTGAGCTGTTGCAAGACTCCAACAAACTCGCAATGAGATCAGCGCTTTCGACCTTCGAAACAACCAATATACGGTCCGTCGGATGCAATCTGAGTGCTTCCTGCAACACGCGAATGTTATCCAAAGGAATGGGCTGTCCTTGCCTGATGCGCCGACCGTTGCAATAGTTGAGCACAAAGTTAAAGTCTACCGCAAGATGGCGGCCTGATGGCCTTGCAAGCTTCTCCACTCCGCCCCCAAAGAGAGTGTACTCACCCTCCGTCTCCGAGTAGAAGTAAATTCCAAATTTCGAAGGGATGGATGCAAATACTTGCCTCAACGGCTGAGGTGGAGGAACAAGCCTTCTCACGCAAGAGCTGCTGGAAGATAGCTCCTCACGCCCAATAGGACTGCGCGACCTCACTTCCAAAGAAGATTTTGGCCTTGGCCGAGCTTTGGGAGGGGTTCTGACACTCGATGCAATAGCAGAGTTCGATGGCCTGGGCGGCTGCACCGGCTCGGATGGTATCGCAAAAGAATCGTCCTCAACCAAAATAGGTTCCTCAAGAAAAGATCGCGCGTCTGGGTCCTCAATGATAACTTCTTCCAAGTCCGATGAGATTTCCGGTCCTGCAACGGATGATGAAGGCTCGACTGAGTTAACCAAAGGAGCTGGGTCTTCAACCTCTACCTCCAAAAGGCCAAAAGCGTCGAGGATCTCCGCCGTGCGAGATTCGTTAAACCTCAATTCTTCAAGAAGAAAAGACCTGTAGTCCAGCTCCCCGTTGTTGATCCTGCTTTGGACGTGTTGCGACCACTCCTGCAATTGCTCAATTGCCCGCTTTCCACCCCTTTTGATTACTCTGGCCTCCTTGAGGCTGTTGTATACCAGGGTGTGTACTTCACGGGGGCAGTGTTTACTGCTTTCAAGAATCGAGTCTATGGCTGCAACGTTCGCGTCGGATCAAAAAGCTTCTGTCGCACCAAATCGTAGGCCAACGATGATACAACAAAAAGCGAGAAGATCCAATGATGATTTGCCGGAAGGGTTCAATGCCAAAGGTCGGTGCCAAGGATTCGCAAGCCAAATAACTTGGGAGCAAAATAGGCCACCAAAGAGGCAATACCCCAATCAAAGCACGTAACTCGCGGAAGAGTCTATACGGGCTGATAACCAAATGAATCAAGAGCGCACTCAACCCTACCTTTTTGTCAGGGCTTGACGCTCAGAATCCTTGAGCCAAATATGTTATTCGGCGTCTTAGCTTGAGCTACTTCAAGCAGCTATCTGTACATAACTTCTTCCTAACATGTTTTCCTACCAGGTCCACTGCACATGCCGCACTGTACATGTCATGCATGGAGTGTGCCTGTTGAAGTTGGGGTTCTCCCCCATCTGCGGGCAGCAAGGCCTCATTTAGCAGATGGAGGTATCTGAACTAGTCTAAGCTAAAGTGCAGATTTGCCCACATACCTTCTTCTTGTTCTATCAATATTTCAATAACGTCCCCCAGACAAAACATAAAGTTGCAACACGTCCGCAGCATCAAAAGCAGAGACTAAACAAAAAAGGTTTCCACTTCAACTCTCGCAATTCTGCAGAAGTTTCTTCTCCACTGAAGGGCCGGTTGTAACTTTATGGTTTCTGGGGCGCCGGAAGCCTCTAGAAGCCGCCAGTCTTTGCGGACTGCGACCTCGCTGAGCCTCAGAAGCCTCCAGATGGCTTCAAGGGCCCTCCAAACTCTCCAGCCTCTCACAAGCCTCCAAAGTCTGCAGTCACTGCAAAACCTCGTCTGCTACTTGCACTTTGAGGGCCAGGCACGAACTTGCGCATGGTTTTGCGGGACCTCCAGCCTCCAAAGTGCGCAGGCTGCAAAATCCGTCTGGTTCTTGCACGGCAAAGTCAGCAGCGTCACTCACTCCACAACACCATTTCTGCCTTAGACGATGCAGGCTGTCGCTGTCGCTGTCACTTCACAACCCAACTTGTTTTCAAACGCACCAAATCCGCGACTTTACGACGCTCCCCTTGAAAAAACGCACCTCACAGAGACCGGGCGTGTCTGACTTTACAACGCAATTACCCTTAGAACACGACGCATCACAGAAGCCACTGCACGGGCGCCCGACTTATGATTGCACTTTCCCTTAGAACAGAACTTAAGCATAAAGTCTCAAGTGCCCGCAATGGCCAACTTTACAATACACTCCTAGAACCCAAATCGCAAGTCCAGCGTGTCTGAAATAAAAGGTTTTCAGAAATTTTCTCAAACAGACCATAAAGTTGGCATCCTGACACATCGCGGATTTTAAGTTGACCATGAAGAGGGTTTCTTTCGCATCGTCCACCGCAGAATGCGCCGCCGTTTTGAAGAAAATTCACAATAAATTTCGCATTGTCCGTTTGTTGGCTCGCTATCGCGTTGACTGCGCGACCGTCCCACATGGAATTACACCAGTTTCGCCTTATGGACTCAACCAGACGAACGCTTCCCACTCAGTTTTTTCCTCCAGCGCCGTTCTTGACGCTGGAAAGCGGAATGTCTACAGTGCCAATTGCAAGTGTAACTGTGTCAAGCAACTTACAGACTTACAGGGCCGCGTGGCACGGGTGACTTCACTTCCGATGAACCTGGCATCAAGATCCGAGCATACCCCGCGGGCCTGGGTTGAGGGCTGGGGTTCAACTTTGTTACAACCCCGGGTCCGACAAGGCGGCGGGGGGGGGAGGGGGCTAACCCTAACCTAGGTTGAGGTTTGGGTTAACCCGAACCCCAACCCGGGTTGGAGTCCGAGTTCGGCCCAAACCCTAATCTGAGTTAGGGTTCAGGATAAGAGATAGCCGAACCTCAGGTATCAGGTCAAGATAATCTGAACCCCAGCCAGGGTTATAACCCTAACCTCAA